GAGAGAGAGAGAGAGAGAGAGAAAGAGAAAAATCAACATGAGAAAGACACATCAACTGGTTGTCTCCCACACATACCTGACCGGGACCGGGGACCAAACCTGTAATCAAAGTATGTGCCCTTGACTAGGAATCAAACCCACGACCCATCGGTCCTTGGGCCGACGTACTAACCCAGTGGTTCTCAATCTTCCTAATGCTGCGACCCTTTAATACAGTTCCTCATGTTGTGGTGACCCCCAATTTCATTGTTACAAATTGAACATAATTAAAGCATAGTGATTAATCACAAAAACAATATGTAATTATATACGTGTTTTCCGGTGGTCTTAGGCGACCCCTGTGAAAGGGTCGTTCGACCCCCAAAGAGGTCGTGACCCACAGGTTGAGAACCGCTGTACTAACCACTGAGCAAACAGGCCAGGGCTTAAATTTATATATTTTTTAAAGAATTGTCTGTTGAATGGACTACCTATTTCTAAGCCAAACTCTGAGGGCTAATAATTGTACTGAATGTTTATCTCTATGACATAGAAAACTTTTGTTCACATAGAAACATTTAAAAAGGAAATAGCAGAAGATAACCATCCTTAAAAGATGTTAGGACTAATTAACCCCATGATCACATAAGTGTTACAAATCCAGTAGCAAAAACACGTGGTGGTATAATCCAACTCATATAATCTTCCTAATGAAGGGGATAATTTTGTCAGATGGCAGTGGTTTAAAAATAGTCATTTTACATTTGAATACACATTCCAGAGAGCAACTAAATTTTTAGTGAAAATTGCAACTGCTAACAAGAAAGGCCTACTATCTAACAACAATTATTTAAATTATTCTGCTCAAAATGACAACTTCCACTCAAAAGTTTTGTCCTTCTTTCCTCTACTGCAGTTCTTTCTTTTGTAACATTCTATACAAAGCTTTCCAAGGGTCTATCCTTGGTCTTTATTTACCATTTCTAATTTCCTAACACGGTTGAAACTCACCAGCCAGATTAGCTTTTCTGCCCTAAAACCAAACCAATTTTCTCTTCAAGTCCATCCCTCTTCCATATTCTGCTGCTCCTCCAATTCATCCCAACAGCCAAATTAATCTCCTAAAGTACTACTCTAATTGTACCACACCCCTGTTGTCTACAAAATCCATCTGGGGAGGGGGGCGGTTTAGGGAAAATTGTGTGTTTGTTAATATTTTGTAAATAGTCAAGTGATAAAGATATAAGTTACGCTTGGCAGTTTATTCTGTTGGTGGACTTTAGTTCCTCCAAACCCAGAAAAGCTAACATACATAATCAGCATAATCAGTGGAATTTCAAAGCCCTGGGAGTGGTCCCAAGCTTATCAACTGATTGGAAAGAAAGTTTCATCTTCAAGGGTAATCCCTACCATTCTCTGCTTTCTGGGTTGGTTTACAAACACAGCAAGGCTTTAATTATCCCACCAATACAGTGCCTGCTGCTTCCCTGCTAGCTTTCTAAACCTCTTCATTTACCAAAGACAAAGGAATAAATGGCACACACCCTGCCCATCTGCAGACAGAGAGACACACATGAAGGAAGACACAAAGTTAAAAAAAATAAAAATTTAGGACTCAAAAGACATTTGAAAATGTTTGCAATATAAAGTGGCTACTTCAAATGTTCTTTTGTGAGACAAATATCAACGTTTACATTCCTCCAAAATAATGAGTTGCTATCTAATTTTCCAGATGAGTAACTAATTTGCTTTCTGTGAACAATATTCTAAAAGAGAAAGGAAAGAAAATAGTCTCTGGATGCCTGCCTACTACATGCCAGGGCACTGTACTTAGCTCTTTCAACCCTCCCAGTAATCCTATGAGATAATATGTCCATTCTATAGAAAAAGACATTGAGACTCAGGAAGGATAAATAGCTTTCCTTTAGGTATCTATTAAGTATAGCACTTGAAAGTTGGTTGTCACCAAAAGACTGGAATGTTTCTCTGACTCCAAAGTTATACTCTTTCTACCACATCTTTCTGAATGAACAAAATTTCATTCATTAAAGTGAAGATTCAATAAATTCAGAATTTCTATTTTTAAAAATCTAAGAGGGTTATAATTAAAGTAATTAAAACCACAAATTTTCTGCTCTGGCTAGGTGGCTCACCTTCCTAATGCCGCGACCCTTTAATACAGTTCCTCATGTTGTGGTGACCCCCAACCATAAAATTATTTTCGTTGCTACTTCATAACTGTAATTTTGCTACTGTTATGAATCGTAATGTAAATATCTGATATGCAGGATGTATTTTCATTGTTACAAATTGAACATAATTAAAGCATAGTGATTAATAACAAAAACAATATGTAATTATCTATGTGTTTTCCGATGGTCTTAGGCGACCCCTGTGAAAGGGTTGTTTGACCCACAGGTTGAGAACCATTGCTGTATACCGAAATGCTGTGGGTTCAATCCCTGGTTGGGGCATATACAGAAGGCAACTGATAGATGTTCTCTCTCACATTGATGTTTCTCTCTCTTCCTTTTCCTCTCTCTCTAAAATCAATAAGCATATTATTGGGTGAGGATTAAAAAAATACAAAAACAAAAAAACCCCACAAATTTTCTAAAGTACACTAGTGAAGTGTAAAGATAATCATTAAATCATTAATACCGAAAATGTTTTAAACCCACTTGTTGCTTAATATGGTAAGATTCACAGAAAATGTCTCTTCATTAAGTTTGTGGCAAAGTCTGTGTATCCTATCAATGAGAAAAATAAAACCACTTCTATCTGTAAAACAATTTTTGTAAACAGTGGTACTTACCCTTTTTTTGTATAAAGATCCTAAGCAGTGGATTGGCCGTTGAAACAGCTTTGTGATAATTATCATCGTTATTTATAGGTAGTAAGTCTCCATGGATGTCTGCGTAGCCTATTAAAACATCAACATTTGGGATCTTATGAACATGTTGCAGTAATCCATAAAACTCCTCAAATTTTCCCGGTTTTGATCTTTCCAGTGAAAAACGACGAAATTCAGCTCCAAACTATAAAGATAAAAAATGTATTAATTTTAAAAACAGGACTCAATTTTAAAATGCATGTCACAGAACATTAACAGGCTTATTATTTCTCTTAATAAAGAAGATAGTTCCAAGTGACACAGTCTACTGTCAGAAACCTCATCATCTGGAGATAAGACAACATAAGAAAGGCACAGGAATGTGCCTTCTTGATGCTGTATCTCTGAAGGGCATCACTTGAAGATGCAGGTTTACCTCAATGCCCAGGCACCCAGGCCGCATTGGGGACTGTCCTCTCACACCCTGTCTGCAGCCCAGATCCTGAAAGCAGCACTTACCTCCATGAGGTAAGAGGTGCCCAAGTCTTTATTTTGACCATTAACAAAAAGCATCTAAGTTTCTTCCCCCATAAAAGGAATTGCTATTTCACAGAAGTGGCAAGAATGAACAGAAACAGGTACAAAAAGGACTTTGAGCTTCTTGGCATTTAAGATATGATACAAATGGAGGTATAGTATTTAAGAAATCAGTCTAGAGATAAGCATCTTCCCTGTTAATATTATTAAAAAGTTTTATTAATACATCAAATATATGTCCTACAACTACCCAGTAACACAAGAAGTGTTTACATGCTTGGCACAGGGCTAGACCCTAGAGATTGAAAGGCTCAGGCCTACACGAGCGTACCAATTAGTGGATAAAGAGAATAGTTACATCAGAGAGGTATTAAGGGATCATACCAACAGGGAGTACATGACACCTCCACCAGGCCCAATATTTATCTTCACAATTCTGATTCCCAGGTCTGCTTCCCTATGCTAGAATCACACCTCTGTTCTCCAAATGCTGAATTAGTCAAGTGGCCCTTATTCAACACTTAGGACTGATTTCATCTAGTCCATGAACAACAGGATCTATAGGACTTACTATGGGACTAGCATGGCATTTCTCCCCAAATGTGGAAACCTAAGAAAGGTTAATCAGCCCGGCTGGTGTGGTTCAGTGGTTGAGCGTCAACCTATAAACCCAGAGGTCATGCTCAATTCTTAGTCAGGGCACATGCCAGGGTTAGGAGCTCCATCCATAGTGTGGGACATGCAGGAGGCAGCTAATCAATGATTCTCTCTCATCACTGACGTTTCTATCTCTCTCTCCCTCTCCTTTCCTCTCTGAAATCAATAAAAACATATTTTAAAAAAAAAAGGTTAATCAGCCTTCCTCAAAAAGGTGTACCAGCCACACAAGTGGAAAATGCTACATAACTATAGCCACACTCTTAGGAGTTACTGTGGAGACCAGA